CTTGTGATGATTAAAAACAGTGATTTACAGCATAGCTCACACATGTAGTCTCAGCTACTTGGGAGGCTGGGGTAGGAGGCTTGCTTGAGTTCATGTCTAGCCTGGGCAACATAGCAAAACTCCATTTGTAAGAAAAAAAACCCCAAACAAACAGTGATTTACTAATACAATATAGTTTTCCACGTGAAAGAAATTAGTATCTTTTATTATATAAAAAAATGTATTTAGAATCGAAGTTTTAGTCTTTTAATTTTCTAGCCATAAAGGAGGCAGAAAAATGTTCATCAATCTTTGCAGTATTCATTAAAATAAAAAGATAACTTTGGCCACGGCCATGACAGAAACTCTAAATCATTCCATGGCCTAGAGTGGCAATTACCTGAAGCTGGGGAAAGGACCCTGGGCAGGAAGCAAAGGAGGGGACTGATCCCAGGCCAGACTGATGCCTCAGCAACACTGGGTTTGGGCCACGTAAGGGCATTTAGTAAGCCAAGGCCTAAAGGGAGGAGGAAACAATTATCTCCTGGGAAATAGCTGTATAATCTGGAACAGCAAAGATTTCTCAAGGTGGGAGTTGAGATTGGAGTGTCTCCTGATCCTTGATGAAACAATTCATTCTGCTTCAAGGACCTGGGAAAATGACAGGCTTCTGGAAACACTGTTATTCTGGTAGTTAGGAACAACCCTGTTGATTGAGCCTCAATCAGGAAATTGTCCTCACTCAACCATATTCCTTGTTAAGTGCTGGAGGACTCATTAGAAAATAACTCTATTGCAACAATAATAGTAATGATAATAAGAGCATTTATTGAGTTCTTACTTCAGGCCTGGCACTTAATATTCATTGTATTATTTAAGAAGAATTTTACTTGGCATTAATTTTATTTCACTTCTGTCCTGTCAGCTGTGGTTTTACCAAGGATTCTGCCCCAGAATCTGTAGGGGCCTGATTCAGAATAAGAAAATTCCATTGTAAATAACTAAGTCCAGAGGATGTTATTTTCTATCATTTCCACTGCATTGTCTTCTTTAGTTATTTAAAAAATGGTT